TATATATATATATATATATATATATATATATATATACACACACACATGCATATACACAGTCAAACTGCATTATCTGGCACCTTGCAAGCCAGAATGCTCTATTAACCATCACGCCAGCTTGTAAGGTAAAAGCAAAACTGGAAGTGCCCACCATGGCACTTCCAGTTTTGTCAAGCCCTCACGGCCCAGGGCATAGCAGCCTGCATGGGGCCTGCCTCCCTGTCCCTCGGGGCCCACAGGAGAGGCGACAGTCCGAACAGACAAAGACGCCTGTTCGGGCCTCTCAGGTAACCGGCATATTTTGTTATCTGGCACCCCACATTCCCCATGGATACCAGATAACAAAGCTTTTGCTGTACACACACACACACACACACACACACACACACACACACAGAGTCATTTAGACAGCTGTCTCAAATCCAAGCAAGCCATAGGAACAACACACACACACACACACACACACACAGAGTCATTTAGACAGCTGTCTCAAATCCAAGCAAGCCATAGGAATAACACACACACACACAGTCATTTAGACAGCTGTCTCAAATCCAAGCAAGCCATAGGAATAACCTGAGAATGAAGGGTATCATCCTGAGAGAGGGAAAAGAGAGCTAAAGCAGAGTAGCTGTTGTGGGACTATTTACTTGAGGAAGAAGTAGGCAATTGTTGGAGGAGTCCACTGTAAAATAACCATCTTATCAGACTCTGACCTGCAACAGGCCCTGCAAGCTAATTCGAAGCATCCAGTTCATAAACTAGATCTTGCAGCATTTGGACAGCCTTTGTTTTCTTGTCTGTACAACCTCTGTATTCTCTTAGGTCTACAGCATAAAAATACAATTAATTTAATTGGCCCTACTGGACCAATCTCCAGAAAAGAGAGTTCTAATCTGTGCGATAGCTCCAAATAAAGTGAACGCTTAAAAGGCTTACATTCCCTTTCTTAAACTGGCATCATTTAATTCCCTTCACAGGAAGAAAAGAATTTTCTGGTTTGTTTGGGAAACAAAACTATTCTGAGAGCTGTTAAACCAGTTTGCTCTGCAATGGATATGTGGTTTAACCGTTCCTCCCACTAAATATGAACTACAATTCTGCAGTGATTTTTGTGCACCTTGAAACAAAATAAATAGTACTTTATTTTTAGTACGAGCCTTAGATACAGTTCCAGTTATGAGCATTCCTGAAGTTTACAGATACAGTCAAAGCAA